CAGGCAGCAGCACTCTCCCGCCTTTCTCTTGTATCCCTCTCCCTCTTTGTGTGCAAAACAGCAAAAGGGAGCACCACACTTACGTGGCACAGTGGTCACCCCCATATGCATGAGAATTGGCGACTGAGCAATTATGATCTGTGATGAACCACTTAAACAACATCAGTGGCAGATCTGAACAATGCTTTAGTTTGCTTACATGGTTGCCTGTTTGAGGGGCAGTTTTTGTGTGTATTGCTAGCCTGTATGACACTGCGTCCTTGTTTTTATCACTTCAGTCCAGTTTGTCTTCAATAAGTACCACTCCCAGTGTTCAGTTTTGAGAACCCTTAGAACTCAAGCAGACAAGCACACACAATTATCATTTGTGAACAATAATTATCCATTCAACAAACAGATCATTCTGCGGTTCTACTCTGGAAGATACACACATGAAATATTTTGTTTGAATATTGCTAGGCGTGGCAAACTGTGGCTGGAAACCAGACATGCCCCAAGCCTTGTACCATTTCCCAAAAAATATGTCGACAACCCTCCTGAACCTTACCAACAAGGCTGGGTGCTACCTATGTTTTCCACTTTCGAAGTTACAATCAGTTTTCATCATTGCTAAGATTGTTACTAAGGGGAGAGAAAATGGCAACCTTATGCAAAGTAAAAAAAGAAAAGAAAATTCAATAGTTGGTTTCTTCATCTTGTTACTTTGCATGTTTGATTGATTTGTGGTGGGCTACAATGGACTTCAATATTGTTGCCTATATGTTTGATTATCTTTCAAACAGGATGTGATTGCTCAGTAAAATGGCTTCTGTAACCATCGTGTACTTTGCATTCTCACACTGTAAAAGGTGCAAAAGTTTACTTGGTACCTTTTCTTCATGCTCCATCGTTTTGTTGAATTAAGGTGCATGTCTCACAGCATGTAAAAATAATAGCAGACGTGCAACAGTACTGCTGTGTAGATTTCACATTCACTGATTAACAGTCACTTATTTTTGGTCTATTAATCAGGATATGGGGCGAAGCCAGTCTTTTGGTAGCCGGCAGAATGGAAATGAAGCATCACCTCATCCTATAGACAAGGTCATTTGGCTAGTCTTTATTTACTTTTTCGTCTTTGTTGAAGAATCTTTTTTTAGGGATTGTTGAAGAAGTTTTAGTTTTCTTAATTTTATCATCTTCCTGTATACAGGATTTTAGCAGGAGGGATAGCTTTTCTGCTGTCCAGCCAGGAAATATATCTTCTCGACAAGGTGCAGAGAAGTTCAATGATCATGTCTCTGCCCAGGCACATTTTTCACCACCACCTCCACCGTCCGAGTTCTCATCTCCACAGTCCCAGTTTTCACCCCCACCACATTCATCTTATTCCTCTCCCTCATACCAAGGAACAGATTACCCTCCTCATGATGTCCACACCCCACACCCCAATTATTCATCTCCCTCGTACACAAGCACAGACTACCCTACAAATGAGTTCCATAAACCACCATCCAATTACTCACCACCCCCGTACACAAGAGCAGATCAACCTTCGGACGATGGCTACAATCCTCAGAGCAATGATAAGCCAGAGGTTTCAGCTTATCCTCAGACATACCACCAACCACCCTACACAATTGAACCCCAGCACACCTCTCAAAACTACTACGCTACAGAAACCCCACCTGCTCCATACAACTACCCTAATTTCCAGTCTTACCCGAGCTTCCAGGACAGCACACTACCTTCTGTCACAACCCATCAACCTTCATTCCATCCTGCTAGTGATGGTGGTGTGCCAACTGCTCCATCATACACTCCTCCGGCATCAAATCATCCTGCACCGACGCAGTACCATCCGAGTGTTGATGCTACACACCAGGTCACCCCTCCCGCTGCGCCACCAGCTAGCCAATACGCGTATGACAGCAATTACCAGCCGGCGGTCGAGAAGATCGCTGAGGCTCACAAGGCAGCAAGATTTGCCGTCGGCGCTCTTGCATTCGACGACGTGTCAATTGCCGTGGAGCACCTGAAGCGTGCGCTGGATCTCCTGACGAACCCTTCTGCAGAAACTCACTAGCTGCCTGGTCCTGGGAGAAGACATCTTGTGTAAATACACTATACTGTAATTACGACCAACATGGAGATGGAGGTGTTGCCTGGTTGCATAGATACAAGATCGCTGGGGTGGCTACACAAATCTAGGAGATGAAAGGAGGTCTTTAGCAAACTGTTTCTTGTGTCACATGGAGTCATTTGTTTTCAGAGTTTTGTGATAAGGCTATATTTGGCCATTGCTTGGAATGCATATCCTCGAGTGGTGATGGTTGTTGATACAGTTTGCTTCATTCAAGGCCTGCTATTTTCTGGTTTGATTACCAGCCATTTTTATACCTGAATAAAATGTTGAAGATTCCCACTCTGCAAGGTAATAAATCTAATGGATGATTCTTTGCATTAGTACGGACATGTTGTTAATTGACTTTTCTACACCCATGTAACACTTTTTTTTTGAGGGAAATGCCATTATGGCGGTTTATATTTCATGTGCAAACATCGATACATCGTTTGTCAATACATCTACTAGAAAATCCGGAGGCTCCGATTTCCAGACAATGGTTCTAGAGACCTCCGAATTTCTAGGCAGATTCCCGAATTTCTAGCCAACAAATCTGCCGCCATATTGGCCTCCCTAGGACAATGAGAAAATTCTATTGAAATAAAATTACGAGCTAAAAACAAGCATTCTTCATAAATTGCTGCTGCCGGACCAAGTGAGTTTCCTCTGTTTTGCATGATCTCAATAACTTCCATGCAATCACCTTCTATGCAAATACCCATGTAACACCTTTGTAATGCAATGTTATCTCAAAATAGTGTTTTAATCCCTCAAATTGACTTTTCTACCCCCTATGTACCTTTGTAATGCAATGATATCTCAAAATAGTGTTTTAATCCCTCAAATGAAAAGATATGGAGGCCGCATTAAGGCAACTTTTGCGCACATCTACCACGGCCTCCATATCCATATGAAGCACGCTGCATATCCTATATGGTGGCTATTCTAGACTTGCTCATAACGTTGAATTTGGGCATCAAATGGCAAAACAACTTCTCTGCCAGGTGGCTCATCAAGCATCCATCGACATCTAATGCAGAAGGTGATATGATTTTTAAGGGTACCAAGTAAATCAAGGGTCTAAATTTTGCAACAACACAGAAAATAGCTCAATTTGATAGGAAGCAAGGAGGCAAACCCACAGCAAGATCTGAACCAGTACACATCATTCTATAATACAGTAACATGCATGTAAACCTCACTTCAGCTTCATCCTTCACATATACATCCAGCAAAATGGCTGGAACGAGAGACGACCGGCAATGTACAGTTGTGAACTGTGATTCAAAAGAATGTCAGAAACCCATCGAACTATCAACACTAACAAAACTGCCTGTGGATTCATCATACTTCCACCTGCAAAATAATTGGATACATAATTAGCTTACCTCTGTTGGGAATGGCTAATAATTTTTTACGTCTGAACGAGAATACGAGACAATACTGGAAACTGTGTTAACACCCATCATTAATAACCAGTTCATGTATAATATGACTCCTTAAGATTCCAATAGGGTTTCTTTCTGTGTGGCCAGCATAGAATATTTCACGCATAAGATGGACTCCAATCGCATCTCTGAGCAGGGCTGTAAAAAGGCCCAGGCTCAATAAGATACTAGAGTCAATGGATCGAGGATCAATCTGTCAGGGAGTTTGCGCCTAAGGCGTTGGTGGCGATGGCCACGAAAACAGTGATTGAGCGAACTAAGGTCCGTACAATGATCTTTCATAGTTCAACTACTACTGTATCCTATATTACTACTAGTCAAGTGTCAAGAGCATGATCCAGATGTACAATATTGCCATCCAGGATCACAAAAGAACCCAACCAATCTTGGCTAGCAGAATCAAAATCTTGCAGAATATACAAGATTCGACAAATGTGATGCACCCCTGCTCTGGATCGACAAATAAATCATGGTTCGGCAGCCCTCCAAGTTAGGTGGTTCATTTTCTTCCATGTTGAACTATGGGGAAATAAATGCATGATTGAGAATTGTTACATGCTATTTGTCACTCAACTTGTGCTAGTAATACTCTGTCCCTCACTGCAGCCTATTCGTACAACTCCTTCTATGACTATTGAATCATGAACGGCAATCTGGATAATAGGGACAAAGTTCTTAAACATTTCTAGCAAAACGGTTGCAAAATGACCAATAGTGGAAGTCGACTCAACGACCAGCACAGTAGTCAGGCAAAGTAGGAAATGATGTGTTCAGCACTACAACCTTCCAGTGTTCTTTTCAAGAAAAGATGTCACAAATATACAATTATCATTTGAAGATTACGAAACTTTCTTCTCCAATTAGCTGAGCAATTACAAAATGAGTAGGAATCAAGGTATGTATAAGGAGAAACAAACCAAAACCAGCCGTTTATAAAACTGGGCTGGCTTAATGATTCGTCCCACAGATGCCACTCAGCCACCACTACCTTGTTTTGTTTTGTGTCATTGACTTATTATTTGTGTGGGTAGTTCTAATTATTAAATCCAAGCAAAGCTACAGGAACATTACTTATTTCCAGTGCTACACAAAGTTACAATAAATTTCTGATTTCAAGTTTTAACTAATCATAATAATACAAGATAGTATATCAGAAGATTGGAAACAAACCTGCCAAAGAAAATTGGATGTAGCTTACTATCTGAACTGACCACCTAATTTCTTCTATTAGTCTCTTCTCTAAACTTGTCAACATGCAACACATCACATGGGCCACAAATTGAAGAAACCATTACTGTTTTTTGATTATTTGAAGCATATACCTGTAAGAAGACACCACCACAAAGGAAAACGAACAAACTATTAGCATCTACGACAACATAGGTTGGTTGTGATTTTTGGCACATGTGGATTAAATATTTTCTATCTAACCCCAAATTCTGACTTGCAGTTTCATCAAAACACTTGGCTCACCTCATTCTCTTCAGGAGAAGACGGTTTGGTAGCCGATTCTGGAATGTCCGAAGCAAAGAAATACGTATTAACCATAGCCAGCTTAGATTGGGAGTCATGCTCTTCCCACAGTGACTGCAAAAGATAGCAGAAAAGACTGTCTTACAGAGAATACACACTCTACGATAACCAGCGTTTGACATACGAAGAGGGGAGTGCTAACCTTTCAACATCCTAGCATGCAAACAGGTTTAAATTTACGCTATAGTTGAGGGAATAATACAAAAATGGAAAGATACCTGCAGCTTGGATGGAGCAGACTTGCCATCTTTGGAACCAATCAAAATATGATCTTGGAGATTGTATGTTATACCATCAACAATACAGGAGTTATAATAAGTTATGTTGCCCACAACTTTCAGGGCATCGCCAACCCAATCCACATCACCAAGATCTGAGCTGTAACCTACAGCTTCACTCTTTGGACCTGCCATAACTTCATGCTTAGCACATAAGTCCATGTTTGATGTCACCAGATACACATTGTTATGTTCTGACATGGCATTAACTTCTGTTGTTTCATCATCCTGAGGACACCCTATTCCAATATCAGCGGCTACATCTTCTTGATGTTTTTGATCTGCTGGTGTTCTATCGCTGCTGGTTCTTTGTTCGTCCTTGTTCAGAAGTTGGTCAGAGTTTCCTTCTATTCCACACATTTCAGATGAGTCAATGAAGGAATGGTCGGAATTTCCCCCGTCAGAAATTGCAGTAGCCTGCAGTGTGGAATCATTTACTGAATTCACAGCACATGGAAGTAACTCAATTGTCTCTCTTTGCTTATGAGACTGCTCCGACAGATTTCCAGCAGCACTATATGTTGATCCTCCACTACTTTCAATTTGACTGGAGGATTCCATGGTCTTTGTAACTAAGCTTCTTGAAGGTGGGCCATGTCCTTCCTTTTGTTTAGACAGAGTGTCAGTATGTTTAGTGTTTTCCTTTTGAAATTCAGAAGCAGAGCCCAATTGTGCTTTTGAACTAACAGTGTCTAAGGCCAACATGTCACTGTTACGTACAGACCTACCAGGTTCACTGGAGTTCTGCTTGATGAAACTTCCGTTTCCTGCCACTTTTTCACTCTCATCTTTTGTGCGTGGGTTTTCTGATGCTCTCTGCAAAGTTACACCTCTAGCCTTTGATGCAACAATTGTTCTTGTAACCTTGCCATATTTTGGAGGCAGAGGTTTGCCCTTACTATACACTACACATGTTGGACAATACCAATCTGCAATTGACAGGCCTTCGTTCCCATCCTGCTGAAGGCATTTTAAGTGTACACCCCTCTCGCAAGCATCACAAACAAGTAAACTCTCCACATCAGTGATAAATGTTTTACATATTTGACAGTCCACCCGAGCATGCATATACTCAGTTGATGGTACCGTCCAGCTAGGATGGTTGGCAGGTTGGTGCAGAACCAGTTGAACATTTTTTGCTATCGCGTTGTGCTTGGAGAAGCAGGGTTCCTGTTGAATAAATGCTGCTGCTCCCGGAGGAACATGATCTCCAATAACAATGTTCCTGTTGACAGGTTGAGCAGAAGGTGCCTTCTTTTCATGAGATTTCCCTGCACTAGAACTCTGAACTGTGCTTTGGCTGGACCTAGTAGCAGTAAGATGAGCTGATTTATTTGCCTGGCCAATAGTTGCTGCAACAAAGGTGACATAGACAAAATTACTTTTTGAGTAAGCAGATTCAAAGGAATGCATCTCACTCAAAATCAAACATACCAGAATTGCATGGTGTGAATATCTTCTAGAAAAAGTTTATATTATGAATAAAGGATGCAAGATAGGGTGGAAGTGTTTGTGAATTTATATTATGAATAATAGAACATTGGTAACATAGTAATAATGCTGTTGTGAAATCTAGTGCTGTGTAGTTTCTGCATATAACTTCACATTAGCTGATTCTGTAACCAGGGTATACAGAGTGCCTGCGGTACTAGTTAAGCTAAAATGTAGATTGATGCACACCAACAAAAAATGCATACTAGTGGAACTAACTATTCCTGGATGTAAAGGATGAGCTTCTTAAGGAACATATTTATCTTTCTGCATGGAATGTAAGATATTGCTATTTATTTGAGTGAAGTTAGGAGCTAGACCAGGTTCAAGCGTTAAACATAAGCACCAGCCGTCTTGAGAATAGGAAGAACATTTAATTAAAAAGTTACGAAAATGAATAAAGTGGATAGTGTAAGGCAAACATGGATGCAACGACACATTACCTCCTCTTTGTCTGAAATTAGGACAATTAACAGCCTTTTCCACTTCAATATTTGCAGAACCAACCAGTGGTAGAGAAACAATTGAAGGAAGGTTACCTGATTTGGAAGAAGATACTCCCGCTGGTGTTTCATTTGGTCGGGACTGCTTCAAGATAGAAGAAGACATGGTTACTGGGGTTGGGGTTGAGGCAGGGAATGACCCAGCAGCTGACAGGTTCCATCCAGCGGCGGACTTGGAAGCTCCATCCTGGAATATAGCGGTTGCACTTGAGGGTGTTGTCTGAGGAACATTCGTGGTTGGACGTACTAGAGATTCCTTGACTTGTTCCATCTATTTTACAAAAGGAAAGACAAAAGAGAAATCATTGAAGATGCTTAAAATTTCAGTTAGCATATATGCACCAACATATCGAACTACATTACAGCATATTAATATGCTGATTAGTGAAACAGAAGAAATTTGACCCCCAAAGCTAAAAGCTATCATGACCACTAAGAAAATTGAACTGGCCATATTGTGTAAACTGAAATACTTCCTTATAAAATAAGAAAACTATTCACATTTTTGTCATTTGATGGTTGATGCAACACACATATACCTAAAATCATTTACATCTGTCATTGTATATGGTGATACGCTGTATCCTCAAGTATCGCCTGCACTCGTCGCCACTGCCATCGCCTGCACTGACCGGTCACTGCCATCCCCATCTTCCTCCACGCGATACTGCCACCACGATCCCCTCCGCCTCCTCCCTCCATGCTGGCAGACGCCTTCTTCCTTCACCCAGGCAGCAGGTACCTCCGCGCCTCTCGTCCCTTCTCTGTTTTCTGCACTTTTCGTTCTTCTTTTTCTTTGTTTGCTTGGCTAATGGCTACTAGGTCGTACTACTAATCAACGATAGTAGGAGTATGTGATTAATCTTATACTACGTGTGGCTTGCTGCTGTTTTTTTACAGGGTGCCTGGCTCTCCACTGAACAGAGAGAAGCAGAGAGCAATGCCTCTGAGTGGATCCACCGAACAGGCTCAGTTAGGACCCAACAAATGGGCTGAATCAAGGGAGGGTGTCAAACCTTGCGCTTGGTGAGAAGGATCCTCTCGGCGATCGAGGCCCTGCGGGGGCGGTAGTCCATGGCGGCGGGATCCCTGGCGCGGCCGAGCCCGAGGTCCTCCACGAGCGTGCGCACGGCCTCCCTCGGGTACAGCTCCTTGGGCCGTACCTCCACGGCCGCCACCGACGCTGCGAGCCGCCCCCGCGCCTCCGCCACGAGCGCCCGCTCCGCCGCCGTGGGCGCCCTGCCGCCCCGCACCTCCCCGGCCACCGCCAGCACCATCACGATCTCCGCCACCCGCCCCAGCTCCCCGCCCCCCCGCGGCCGCTTCCGCCCGCAGCCCATGGCGCGACGGAGGGGGACGCTTCTCGAAGGTTCTGGAAGGCGACGGGGAGTTTGAAAGGCTCGCTTGGCGCCAGGTTAGAGTGGGGGACAGGGCCACAGGGGAGTGGCGATGAGGATTCCGGAGGGTTTGAGCGGCGCGACCGCGCGATGGGGACAGAGATCAGAGAAGGTTCTGCATCTAGACCTACGGATGGGCTACTAAATAGATCGGACAGCCAGCAATGTTCGGGCCACGAAATCTGACGGCCGGAAACGGTAGGGGCGTGGCAGCCAGCGGATGATGGGAGGTTATAAATGCCGTTGGTGATGGTGGTATGCATGTCATCAAGACACTTCAAACTATTTGATCTACATCTAACACATGTGAGATAAGTTATGTATTTTACATAAAGATCCTTACTACTTCGCTCATTGGTTGCAGAAAACTCTTTAGTCTCTACAGACAAGTTCATCACCCTGTCCAAACGGTTAGGGACGAACTAATTATTAATAGAGCCTGCGAAGTTGATCATGCTGGAAAGACGGTTCTGGAGTTCCTACATTTTTTACCAGATCAAGTTTTGTCCATTTGGTTTTTCAAATGCTCGATAGATTATTGCCATTACTGCCTGGTAGTTATGATGGGAAAGGATAAAATAGTACATGAGGAGATAGTTCAGAGTGCATACCAGGTTTCTATGGGATCTGTACGCTTACAACTAATTTTGTTATCGCCTCCTCTCTGAAGGCTATCTTGAAAAAAGAGGGCTGGATAAGGCCTTCGGGTTTTTTGTCAAACTTAATGTTAATATATCTTTTGATCAAGATCTGCTTAGGGGCACTGTTGGGGCGGTTCTGAGGGATGAAAGGCAATTCATTGCAGGAGGGAATGGAAAGATAGATTGGTGTGTGGATGTCGTGACGGCTGAAGCTCTGGCTCTCGGATTCAGTCTTTCCCTTACGCAAAGGGCATGATTCAATCGTCTCATTATACACTGACAATTTGGAGGTCTTTGATAGCATGAAGAAGTGAGCACAATCTGCGGGAGCGGCGGAAGCTCGAAAGTTACTCTCTTCTCAAGCCCAAGCCCAGCCAAGCGACAACCCGAAGCCCCATAGCGCGGCCCAAACGTGTGAATTTCAATATGCATTTAACAACTAAGACTGGAAGCCCGCCCCCAAAGCCTGAAAGTAGAAGCCCGAACCTAGCCTCGGGCTGCAGCCCATGCCTAGGTATGTATAGTCGGCGCCGTATTTCCACAACGACCATCTGATCCTTATGTCCTCTTGAAGCCTCACATGCTTAGGAACTGTAATATTCGACCTTCTCTGCGCGGTCGATGCCAACGCCTTTCGTGTTGCTTCTCATTTCTATGTCCCTAGTGATCCATTGATTCTATACCCCTTTTCCTGACCTCCCTCTCATCTCAAAATTTGACTCAAAATACAAAAAGGGCTAATAAACCAAGACCGCGGAAGTAGAACATCAAGAAAATTCTATGGGTTTTAATCCTACTCCCTCATTTCCGAATTACTCGTCACCAAGTATGGATGTATTCTAGATACATCCATACTTGCAACAAGTAATTCGGAACGAAAGGAGTACAAACGAAGCAAGCTCTATAGAAAAAACTATCCTAAGAAATGAATCCTCCAAAAAATTCTTTTAATTCAAAGAGTCCCTAACACATTGCATGATTCACACGACCAAGACAAGCTAATACCGTACAAGTTGGTGGATTAATTCAAGCCCTGCTTTTCTGAATCCATTGATATGGTTCGAAGGTACCACTTTCCAAATCAATCTATTCAATACGTTTGATCTGCAAAACTTCCCACAATGTACAGTAGCACCATGCTTACAGATTCTTCAAACTTGTACTCCCTCCGTAAACTAATATAAGAGCGTTTAGATCACTAAAGTAGTGATCTAAACACTCTTATATTAGTTTATAGAGGGAGTACTAGAAAGTACACAAATTCAATAAGGAATATATGACATTTCTAAATCCTAATGTGGCTAGCTGTGCACATACCAGACATGGACACTACTTCATTTCCAACAGATCAATATGCAAGAATGAATTGTACTCCCTCCGTCGCAAAATAAGTGTCGCTTATTTAGTACAACTTTGTACTGAATCAGCGACATTTATTTTGGGACGGAGAGAGTATTAGATAAGTGGAAACAAATTTGTACAAATGAATGTGAATAATTTCAACAAAGAGACTATGAACAATAATGTACACATATGTGCAAGTGTCGTCTATTCCCCCAGGGCCTAGTTTGTGGCTCGGATGGAAGTTACAGGCTCTGTACAACCCGGTATCACAAAACTGGCAAAGCCGCCAAGCGGCTTGCATTTGCGAAGGTAATATCTGAACAGAGCATCAACTGTTCGGCAGAAGTAACTACATGTACGTCTTTCAAAGTGAAGCCATGAACCACAGGTAAGATATATCCATTCCCCAGGTGCGAGTTCAGATACGGCATGCATACCGTGTTCAAGAAAACCCGTATCACTCCCTGAAAATGAAACAACCGTGATGATTTAATAAACAAATCATAGATGTAGAAAAAGCCTGCACTTGCAATGGTGTTCTGCACATGCCTATCCGTTGCTATATAGGAAATAAAATGTGAGCAGTAGGCAGCCAGAAGTCAACTAACAGAATAATTGGAATCACCTTAATAATGATAAAAAATAAATAAAATAAAGACAGTGGAATACCTGAATCAAAGACATATGGAAGTTTCCGATTTTACTCCACTTCAAGGATAGAGAGAAATTATCTAAGCCAACGGTACCATATACTTTATTCCCTGATGCCTCCACAACACCTGACGCGCTAACAATCTGCAAGGAAACAAATCATTCCAGCTGTTAGAACCCTACTTGGAAATATTAATATATGGTTTGAAATTTCGAAAAAGCGATGCTGAAGTTAAGAGAAGTTAGTGCAACCAGTGATGGTAAACACATCTGAAATTTCTTCGCTCCCATCTTGGAGCAATGGAGCAACAAAAGCACATCATAAAAGTTCAGAATTTGAGATTTCTTACTACAGAGATGCATGCAACTGGAACCGTCTCTGTGCCATGTAAAACATCAATTATCATGTCTGCATTAATGGTAGCACCAATCTTTTCAGATGTAATCCTCATCAGTGGGGATGAGGCCATTGAAATGTTCAGGACCATGTCATCATTTGGATAGTTCCAATATAAGCGAGGAATGATAAATTTCCAGCCTGCTGTATTCAGTAGAGATTGATCAGGAACTTTGTCTACAACCCAATGCATGGAACCAGCCTGAAAGGGGAAAAGGGATAATGTAAAACCCACAAGGTGGAACATTCTTGACGTATTAATAAAAATGTTTAATTACCTTGAAGTAAACCTCTAATGCCGAGTTGAATACATCTTCATCGAGTGAAAGCAAAAGCATATTTGATGCTCCACCACAAGATAATGAAAGCTGGGGATGCTTCTGCAAATTGCTAGTCTTAACAACTGCAGAAGCGAACAATCCATTGATATCAAACTCAATCGTGGAATTCCCGTATAGTGGATCATTGACAAAAGTCATGTTCAGAGCAGTGACATTGTCCAGACTAACACTCCTAGGAAGACCTTGAAGCAACGAATCCAGTTTTGATGTGCTGTCAATAATATTTTCCGGTATTACCTTTTCAACCGCAGCTCTAATATGGTCTTCAAAAGCATTTATAAACCTTAAAAAAGAAGGCCAGGGAGGAAACATAATTAAACTAGGAGAACTTTGCCTTTGACGTGCTTGATTATATTTATAAAAAAAGAAAACATCAAATAAAATGATCAGATATGTTCGTATTTATAAAGGAGGCTGACCAAACCTGTGAATGACATTTTGTTATGACCGGCCGGACCTACGGCCGTAGGAGGCCCACCGGGCAAGCTTAGCCCGCAAGTTATCTTAGTTTTTATTTCACGTCGTGGTTATATATACAAGTTGTAAGACTATTTTGAGATTTAAGCAATAAGACTATTTCTATTGCCCGGCTCCCAGAGGAGCCGGAAACCCCAAACCCTAGCCGCCTCCTGTCTTCGCCGCCGCCGCACCGCGCAAGGACGGCGCCACGCCACCGGCCGCCGCGCTCCAGCCCTCGCCCGCCTCCCTCGTTCCCCTACAACCTACGTCCGAGACCGGGAAGAACCCTAGCTCCTATCACCTTGGTATCAGCTAGCTTGGTTTCGACCATGTCATCACCACCACCACCGCTGCCGCGCCATCGCCGAGGCCCCGCTGGGCCTTCCCTCGGCGCCGATGGATTCC